CAGCGTCTTGTCGTCTTGGTCAGACAAATCGCTCAGATCAGTAATCGCTTTGAAGCCACCGGATTCAAAACAAAAGTTCAGGAACATTGTGGCAACGGCTCTACCTTGAGCTCATGCAGACTTGCCTCGATTTGTATCAGCGATGTCGGTGTTCGCGTTGATATCTTCTGTGATTGGTTATTTGGAACTTAGACATAACGTTCACACCATAAATTCCACATCACTCATTGCTGTATATACAGTCATTACACTTTCAAGGAGATAGCGTTAAAATAGAAAGCGACCCTGCATTTGTCAGTTGGACATTATCTGTGATTACAGAAGTGTAATGCCCAATTCTCCAGCTTTCCTAAATCAGAGCCAAATACATTCAAATTTACACCTCCAAGCTTTATCTATTGTAAGTAACATTATTCTAATAATAAAATGACTTTTATAAACCGATTCACCCACTTCCACTGGTAATCCAAAGCAGAAATTTAAAATCACTAGAAGTAGATGTGCTGGTAAATCTGCAATGAAAATGCAAATGATTCTCACAAATATTCTGGAGCAACAAATTTGGTGTTTCGTGGCAAATAATTTATTATATGTACTCAGTATGTTTATCACTTTTTGCACTCAGAATTTGATTTAATAAGCATTTACAGAAAAACTTATGCCTAATTCATGATACGATACCACGGCGACCTCGATTTTATAGTGTATTATCTCCTAATCATAAAAGTTCACCAGGAATTTCTAAACGGTTGCTTCCGCGATCCCCCCAGCACTGAACGCCGCCATCGTCAAAACGAATGGCGCAACCGTGATTCCAGCCCAAGCTAAGTTCATCAAATTGCACATCTGTTGGTGCTGCAGTTACACCTGAGCGCATACCCCAGCATACCACGGTCTTGTCCATCTGCAGAATGGGAAAACTTTACTTCTTCGTGCACAAACGATCATTCATATAATCATTTGTACCTTCAGTCCACATGCGGCAAGCCGACTGGTACTCACTAATGTGAATTTCAAGTCTCTTGGTGGACTCGCCTGGTTGCGATGATTATCCCCCCAGCATGACAACGTATTGTCCTCGGTAACACCACAAACAAAGTCACCTGGCGACGCCGAAATTTGTCGGAAGCGAGTGTTTGGATCTACATTGAGCTGTCCCTGTGATGTCAAACTCGTGAATTTCTAATAAGCATTTGAAAAAGGCCAAACTTCTTACATATCCGTTCTCACCCCAGCATATCACCCTACCATCTATAGCGATTGCACAAGAAAAGTCTTTGCCGCAGCTTACTTGCACGAATTTACCACTCGGGGGGTTCGAGATGCCTCCCACAGCTGTGCCTAGAACGCCATCACTCCAAAATATTCACTTATCTTATAGTTCCTTTTGATTACAGGTGACGTACCCCAGCAATGCACTGTCTGATCCTTCATTATACCACATGAGTGAAAGTCACCACTGCTGACTTGCTCGAACATTCCCTCAGGTTTTACCACTGGTGCACCTGAGCCCCAGCATTCGACTGTCTCATCTATACGAATACCACACGAATGCAGTCGACCACTACTGACTTGAATAAATTTACCGGCTGGCGGTGAGCTTTGTCCACCATTGTTGACACCCCAGCAAACCACACGGCCGCCCACGTCGTCGTATGACTGCGTATAAATTGCGCACGAATGCTCAATGCCGGCGGCGATGCTGGTCTCATCGATATCTAGAGAAACAAAGACGGCTGAAGTGGCCAAGTCTTCCACTGCAGCATCATACGAATCAGCAGCTGTTGTCACAAGCAATACGTTTAGCAATGGTAGTAGCATTGCTGTCTAGATCGCGACGTTTCCCAGGGTTCACATAAATTGTATTCAGAAATAAAAACTCTTTTTGCTTATTACTTCATATTGACATGTAAAAGATGCTGTCTTAGCTTGAAAATTGCAAGTCGCGATGCATGAATTGAGGTGCAATCACAGCAAAGCAATAAAGCCCAACTTGATCAATTTGAATGTCATGTCTACTGTCGATTGTCCGTTAACCTTATCTTAATGCAGCAACTCCGCACACCTACATTGCCATATGACCTTAAAGCCAAAATAAAAGAAATCTAAGCGGCGCGAGATGGCTTGTAATGCTATCATTTAGACCAAGAGCGCTACGCAGCTTGTCGATTTTGGCTGTCGTACATTAGGTTCATCATTCACGTCATGTCTAAAACGAGACCATATCTCGAATTTGATACATAACGTCGTGCAAAGTAACGGCTCTGACAGCCGTTTTCTATTTCTACAAAAATAGAAATACATTTTAAGTTCGAAGGCTAACCTTTTGTGCCAGATTTCAAACAACGTTACTTATGAATCTTTATGCAAACGGAATTATGACCTCGGTGTCAATTGGCTTGATACGCATCATAAGCGGGTCCATCATGCTTAACGAAATGCCTTCCGTGTACGTGACATTCTGACCTGGTTCCGGTTTCATTGTGAAACGAGCGACGATGTTAGCAATAACAATTTTGGTTTCGATAAATGCTAAAGTCTGACCGACGCAGATACGTGGACCAGCACTGAAGGCTGCGAACTTTGTCGCACTCATCGGGATGATTTCACCAGTAAGGCTGTCGATAAATCGCTCTGGCTTAAAATCTAAAGCATCGTCGCCCCAAACGCTGGTCAATCGTCCGCAAGAGAAGATTGCAATGCCAATATCCGTATTTGCAGGTACAAACGTGCCGTCTGGAAACACGGTGTCTTTGATACAGTGAGTGGTGATCAGCGGTGCAGACGGGTACAACCGTAGCAGCTCACGAATACAAGCTTCTAGGTATGGTACACTGTTAACGTCAGTCACTGTTGGGATGTAGTGTTTGTCCGTACGAAGCTTTGGAATTTTGGTAAACAGTTCTGAACGCAATCGCACCTCAGCATTCGGATTTTGACTAAACATGTGAAAGAGCCATGCCATACATTCGGCGGTTGTATCGCGACCAGCGATAATTGATGCGATAGCAATGTTTCGCACCTCGACGGGGTCCACAGGCCTTCCGCTGGATTCCATGTTGGCAAGCACAATAGACACAATATCCTTATCAGCCTGAGCGACTGGTCGGCCAGCCTTTTGCTCTTCAACACGATGACGACGGCGCTCGATAGCATTAGCAATGATTCCCATCAAATGTTCGTCAATCACACGTACGTTTTCTTTGATCTTTTTCTCGTCGCCGATGTTAAGCCAGCGACGCAGTTTCCAGTACCACATGGGCTGTTTAAAACGTTTGCCCGCAAGAAACTGCACCTCATCCATTGCTTGAGCAAATGGTTGGAACGCTCCATTCATCGAGTTCATTGTTGTTCCGAAGCCAATCTCTCCAAAAACATCGAACGTATACCGAAGCAGCAGATCAAACATATCAAGCGGAGTGCTTGTAGCTGCGATGGGTGACAAGATATCGACGAGCTGTATAGTATATTTCTGCACAATCGGAACCATGTGGTCGATCAATGCACGAGCGCTGAAAAGACCGGCGACAACGTTGCGCTGCCGCTTCCACTTCTCGCCATTGCTCAAAACAATGCCATCACCAAGCACATCATTATACACATCATGAATGTACTGACTTTTTGGAAAGCTTTCAAACTGGGTTTTCAGTACAGTTTCGAGGTGTTCAGGCTTTGCGATAAAAATCATGTCATCCTTTCCAGGTAGTTTAATAATAAATGCTTCACCGTTCGTGGTTGCAAACTGCTCAGCTATCCAGTCGTGCATCCGCGGTGCATTGGCAGCCAGTACAAAGGCATTTCCAAGAATGGGAAGAGTGCCTGGCAGGGTGATAGCGCGTTTGACCTTGTCATTACTTTTGATTTTAGACCAGCAGAGCGTCACGAGCACTGCTGCTGTGATGAGACTTGGTAATACAGAAGACTTGACGGTGAATTGCAACATTCTGTAATGACAAAGCTTCTGCTACTGATTCAGGTAAATGTCGTGAAATTTTCTTAAGGATTAGGATCCGGCTTTCTTTTTACTATTGAACTAAACGATCAATCTTTTGTACAGTGCCAGTATTCATATCGCGTACCTGCACATTGCACACCTGCACTTTCCAACGACTTTAATTTTTCGACCTTGGCCGATAGACCTGTTTAAGGTAATGGCTGCACTGATACCAACTTAACCGCTTTCTCTAGTTTGTGACCGCCTCAACCCGCATGAAGAGTGGGGCCTGCATGCCTAACGTAATTCCCTGTGTATACATAGGCTTTGGCTGGTCGGGTTGTCGCACAAGGTGGAAGCGGCTCACGATGGTGGCAATGACAATCTTCATTTCAAGGTAAGCCAAATTACGCCCCACGCAGGTGCGTGGACCAGCACTGAATGCACAAAATTTGGACGAAGATACTTTTAAAACATCGCCCGTCTCCGCATCGAGAAAACGCTCTGGTTTAAAATGTAAGGCGTCTTCACCCCAGACGCTAGTGAGGCGACCAGTCGTATAGAATGCAATACCAATATCCGTTTTCTTTGGTACAAACGTGCCATCTGGAAAGACAGTGTCACGGACACAATGTGTGGCAATTATCGGACCAACAGGCATAAGCCTAAGCAATTCCCGAATTGTTGCTTCGAGAAATGGTACCTGATTCAGCTCCTCCACGGAAGGAACGTGCTTTGTATCTGTGGCAAGATTTGGCATATGCTTCAGTAACTCGAAGCGCAGTTTGGCCTCAACGCTAGGATTCTCGCTTAGCATGTAAAATAACCAGCTTAAAGCATCTGCTGTAGTGTCGCGACCAGCGATTAGCGCTGCTACCGCAATGTTGCGTACCTCGACGGGGTCAATGATATCATTGTTAGTCTCAATTGTCTCTAAAATGATTGATACTATATCTCTGTCGATAGACTTGACGTCATTGCCTGTTGATTTGGCTTCCTGACGCTCTTGACGGCGCTGGATCGCTCCAGACACGATTTGCATAATGTGCTCGTCAATAATTTGAATAGCATGACGCAACTTTTTCTCACTGTCGATATTAAGCCAGCGCTTAATTTTCCAGAGTGCATCAAGTTGTTTGAAACGGGCCGACACAATATATTGAGAATCCTCGATCGCTTTGGCAAATGGTTCGAAGCGGCCTTCAAGTAGCTTCATCTCAGTACCAAAACCGATTTCTGCAAACACATCGAGCGTGTAACGATGCATCAATCCAAATACATCTATCGTTGTCTTGGATGCTTCTGCAATCTCAAAAATATGATGTAATTGAGCTAAATATTTCAGTGAGATTGGCGTCATGTGCTCGCGAAGCGCGCGAGCGCTAAAGAGGTTTACAAGCACCCGACGCTGACGCTTCCATGTCTCGCCATTGGTAGTGACTATGCTATCGCCTAGCAAATCAAAGAAAACGTCGTGAATGTGCTGGCTCTTGGGAAAGTTGTCAAATTGCGTCTTGAGCACCTGTTCGATATGCTCTGGTTTCGCAATAAACATCATATCGTCCTTGCCTGGTAGACTAAGAAGGAATGGCTCACCGGCAAATCGTACGATTTGGTCGGTAATCCAGTCGTGCATTCGTCTCGAGTTGCTCAGTAGTTCCAATGTGTTACCTATGATCGGAATTTTCGAAGGAAGGTATCGGACGCGCTTCATTTTGACTTTATTGTCTTTTTTGTCTTTAGTTAGGTCGTTTTCAAGTGTCAGTGGCTTGGTGGGTACGACGGTGAAGTAAATAACAAATATTACAGCCACAGCGGCAATACCAGGCATCACTGGATAGAATCTACTGAGCATGTCACTGACAATCCAAAAGAATATGTGAGAGCGAGATTGAAAGTGGAGACGGTCGGTTGTGTAGGATCGCTGAAGATATTCAAAACAAGTATCGAATATGAGATGTCTCGACGTTGTAGAATACGAACGAGCTTGCATTCATGTCTAGTCTATTCTGAAGGTTATGTTTTGAAAAACTGACATTTATAATTCGCATTTCTGACTTAAATATAATTTAAGATTGTCAAAAGCCTACACTACACCATTTAACCTCTTGTGACATCAAATGTCATTACATCAGCAATAGTCACCGGCTCTCTACGACTTCAATTGTTTGAACATTGCTGATCCTTCACATCTCTTTACCGCGGATTTGAAAGTCCATGGACCTCCAACATGTGCTTACGCTTACTGAACGCCAACTCTTACGAAAACCTTAGATCGTACAATCCTTTCATTTAAGGAAGTTCGTATGCTTCCTCCTTTAACTGTCCAAGTGTATTGCCAGAAAAATTGTACGAGTTGATTTGTAATCGTTGTATGCTCAAATTTTTATACTTCCCCGTCTGAGCCGAAAAAAAATCAGCTCTTGGTTTCTATGTTAGGTGTAACCCCAACTGCAAGTGCGCTCGCACATATTTTTTTATGATTTGAATGAGCGCTTATTACTTTTCTTACACTTTCATAGTTACAATCATCTTGAATCATTAATTTAAAATTCAGAATAAACCATTAATATTACAGCACTTGTATCATGCCGAAAATTCAAATTTATAATTTGTGACTGACCATTGTGCCGGTTTCTCGACGTTTTTTCAGACGAAAGACAGAGTCACTTGTAACGAAGACCAAAACGAGTCAAGGAGGGAATTTAATACAATGCATGCACATTCTTTATATACTTGCAGCATATTCCAACAATACACTTTGTTCAGCAAAAGGGTCGTCAGTTTAACATTCGCAGTAAATGTGTGTTTGTTGTGCCAGTTCTGGGAAATAGCTTTGTATGTTTGTTGTGACAGACGGCAAGATAATCATTTTAATGTCTATCACGGCAGTATCGAAAGCAGCTTTATCAGTTGTCAAAAGTTGATAGAAGTAAAGCTCAGAGATGAATTTGCGGCTTTCAAACGTGTCATCTAAAGTGGTTCGTGTTAGGTCTGCATGTCTCCTCCATGTTCAAACGCGACAGTAGCCCACTAGTGACCAGCAAAATTTGCTGTGACATCTCTAGTAGCTGTGCCAGTACTTCAAAGCTGTCAGCATGCCCAGATTTCACATCTGATTTTCGAACGGTTTGTAAACGGGCCTCTTAATGAATCGGTCGCTTGAATATTGAAGGGTGGCATAAAATGATAGCATGCCTCTCGAAATCGGTCATCAATAAAATCAGATTCCCCTTTGCTCAATCGCTTGCATGCAGGTGTGTTCGTACATGTTCGTTTCGGCACGATTGTCCTTTCTGAAAAGTGCACGTTATTCAATAGCAGCAACGTAATCAATTTATCAGCAGTATACGAGCAGATAGAGTAGAGGAGCGAGGTGAAACAAGGGAATGTAATTCATGATGCCCCGCAATACCGGGAGCACTTGGCTAATATGCTATGAGTGAAGCAATCAAAGTGCATTTGCTTTGACCTAGAGGCGAACGAACGTTTGACCTTTGCTTGCTGTGCTGGGTGGGAAACTGTTTCCTTGTTTTAAATTTCATTAAGCAAAACTTGTGGAGTGAAACGGACTGAAGCTCACGCCTGGGTCTATGTTAATATCTCGAGTTTTAAACTAGTATCAAAACATTTGTCGACAACTTGACAAATTTCTCGACTTGCGCTCTTTTCATGCATCCCAATTCTCATCCACGACTAGAAGAATGTCAGTTCGTATACAGCAAACAGCAACTTTTTTTGACTTTGTACATGCTGTTTGTCGAGATTCATGTGCAAAGCAAATCAATTTTTCATGTAATGGATAATCAGCACGACATATTCGTCGGGATCGTCCATTTTGAAATCAGCACTGCGTGCCCATGATTGTTAAATTCTAGAACTCTCTAAAACATGAGTAATTGCGCGATTGGTTTATGATGTTGAACATCGTACCCGGCATTCACTATACATTAGGATGCATTTTAGTATCAATCATTAAATGTCTCATCCTGGCCCTTCTTCTTGAGCACAGTTCTACATGTTCTGTGCGTATAAAAGAACTTCGAACAAATTCAATGGCATATGTTGGGCACACACATTGATTGCTGCAGCAACTTAAATGTAAACTGCACAACCCATACTTATACAGAATCATCTTTATTTTCTACTTGACCATATAAATAGTACAAGCAGTTATTATATTTATTTAAATGATGGCAGATAAGCTATGCAGTTTTAAACGATTGCGTCGTTCCAGAGAAAGTAGCCTTTTTATCGAATCTATTCTTCCAAGACGAATGTCGCGTATGTACTACTCCTCACGGAAACAGAGGTAGATGTAATTGCTCTGTCTTGAGAGTGCTGGGCTGTGGTCCCTTCAGTGCCATAATTGTGTGGGTATTCATGGGTGAATTACCTGTTACAATTTTAATCGCTTCAGCACTGTAATAGGTAATTCTTGAAAATTTCCTGAATATTGCTATTGGCGAAAGCGAAATTTCACAGAAACACGATGTGAATTACCCAAAGTTTCGGTAAGCTGGCTCTTTTCGAAAACAAATACATCTGCTCATACTAAACGCCTATATAGTTCCTTCCACAGAAGATATCTGCAAATCTCGATAGCTATCCAGATAACCCTCTCCCACACCCACCCTCTGATCGCGTTACCAGATGAAAGAGATAGGTATCGCAATCAGTTCATTACACAATTTGCCACTCCGCGCGCATCTCAAGCTCCTTTACCTTTTTGAAGCTGCTTCCTAACACCAAGTCCGCTCACCCGTTCAATACACAAGTGTCCGGCCCCTCGATTTCCCTCTTTGAATGTCCGTGAAGAGCTCCTGGACTTTCAACAAAAAGTACGCCGTGTACACTGCCACCCACTAGGCGCTGCTGTGTACTGAAACAAGAAATTTTATCATCATGACTCAGCTCGAACTTTATGCCCATCTAGTTAACCGAGCGCCTTTTATCACTCCTGAATCGTGTACCAAGGTCAAATCTGCCATACCTCTCCACCAATTGAATGGCAGCACATTGTATCGACTTGCAACCTCGAATAGTGCCACGTATGACACAATCAATTGTGAAGCGTTGATCCTCGGTTGTGGTGTGGCTGGGAATGCAGCTGCATTACGCCTTGCAAATAAAGGAGTAAAGGTGACTATTGTGTCTGCGGCTGAAGACCCGAATAACTGTGCAACTTATTATGCTCAAGGTGGTATCATATACAAAAGTGGGGACGATACGCCCGCTCTCTTATCCTCTGACGTTCATCGTGCTGGTGCTGGTGTGTGCGACGATATTGCTGTTCAAAAACTGGCTATTGAAGGCCCCGAACGCGTCGAAGAACTGCTATTGGATGTCGCGAAAGTTCCGTTTACACGCAATGATGATGGTGGACTTGCACTAACGCTAGAAGCATCACACAATCGTGCGCGTATACTGTACAAAGCCGACCACACCGGCCGTGCTATCTCCACTAGCATGATACAGGCGGTTCGAGACCATCCTAATATTGTGCTGCTCATGGGTCGCAGTGCTTTTGAGCTTGTCACGAATGAAGCCGGCGAATGTGTTGGTGCTTTGACAATATCTACCCAAGGGAAGTTGGAGTACTATCGTGCGCCATTCACGCTTCTAGCCACTGGTGGTGTAGGAGACGTGTACAAGAACACGTCGAACCCGGAAGGTGCACGTGGAGAAGGAATCGCTTTGGCCGCTCGTGCAGGAGCCAAGCTCAAAAATATGCAATACGTGCAGTTTCACCCAACTACGTTATATATTCCAGATGAGCGTCGCTTCTTGCTAACCGAGGCTCTAAGAGGCGAAGGTGCCATTTTGCGCAACAAAAGCGGACACGCTTTTGCAAAAGATTACCATCCAGATGGTGAGCTTGCACCACGGGATGTCGTGGCGCGTCTCATCTTGGCCGAAATGGAAAAGCAAGACGAGCCATGCATGTATCTTGATATTACTCACGAAAACGCTGATTGGATTAAAAGCCGCTTTCCGACCATTTACCAGCACTGTCTTGACCGCGGTATTGACATGACTACGGATTTTATGCCTGTGGTTCCTGCAGCACACTACCATTGTGGCGGTGTGGAGGTCGATCTACACGGTCGTACATCTGTTCCAGGTCTATACGCTGCTGGTGAGGTGAGCTGCACCGGACTCCATGGAGCTAACCGATTGGCCTCAACCTCGTTACTAGAAGGACTTGTATGGGGTTGCAGCTCTGCCGATGATTTCGTGAAGCGCACTAACTCATCTGGCGTTAAATGCGCTGTGATGCAGAAGGACCCGTTTGCTCATCTGAATGGTTTTCGGACTCCTTCCTCTAACGAGATTGAGGAAGTTCTGTTGGCAACTCAACGCATTATGTGGGATTCTGTAGGTCCTATTCGCACGATCACTGGCATGAAAAGCGCAGTGGAGAAGCTTAAGCTTTTAGAAATCAAGGCCGACAGATTGTATCATGAGTGCCGTATCACTCGCGAGACTGCTGGACTACGCAATGCTGTTCGTGCTGCCAAAGAAATTGCACATGCAGCTCTTGACAGCCCCTTGTCGGTCGGCACGCACTACATTGTGCAATCTTAAGACTACTTACATGACGCAAACGATAGGGTCGTTATCCACATTAACCATTAATTCTTGCTAAAAACAATGTGTATTTGTGTTATGTGAATCTCTTATGCCAGAAATTCGTTATCTGCAACTGTAAAATTCGAAGATTATTTCTGTTCCTATTCAATAACCTTAATTGAAAACCACGCATAGGTATCGGATACTGTAATGTGTCATGACTGAAAATAGTTACTAGGGGATGTTTCCAGTGACTGAAATTGGTCCGTCCCCCTGGGCACAGTGATCACAGGTTCAAAATCCATCAAGAACAAGAATTCGTATACCCAAACGGGGTACCGAGATTGACGAAGGAAAACAACGTGTGCTCCTTCATAAGTTTCCACCGATCCAAAACAATCAACTAAGTCAAACATGCACTCACAGCCCTACAATTCGACCTCGGTGTACAACGAAAAATCAGAATAAAACATAAAGAGTACATCAGCTGATTCAAGCAATGTAAATGTGTAGCAGAATATATAATAACTTTTAACTGTGCATCTTCAAAATTATTTTCGATGGCACGCGCTCTAATGTCTTGATTCCATGCCTTTCACCACTCGAAACACCAATCAATCACTCTGCAAATCTAGTTGACGATTCACTTTCAATTCATCTAGCGGTGTGTGCCGTGTCATTGTGCACACATCATACAATAGTGTGCCAAAATCGAAAAAGAACAGCGCACTGACACTGATGAGAGCGATTCCAGTTCACAAACGTTAGGCGTCGTGTATAGCTTTCATCGAATATCGTAGGCAGATAAACTCAGCAACAGTTTAAATTTAAGATGATGTAATTTCTTGAAGCAGAAACGCAAACAAGATATTTTGGATACTATCGGTTCTCCTGCGGGGTGAAGCTTACGAATCCAATCTTCATGCGCCGTACAGGAGAACTTTGTTTTTGAGTCAAAGCTTTCTCTGTGCGAGGTGCATGGCAACTGCATGAGATACGCACCGCACTAATCGGTACATACTCTGCAATGGAGTTGCCGGGCAATGTGCACAAACTCTCTATGTCTGTGCTAACGAACGCATACAGGATGGATTTGAAAGCTTCACTCAAGAGCAGAACCGGAAGCCTCTACCATTGCTAGGTTTGCTACTTCAAGAGTATATATACAAAACTACTGATTCTATTCAAACTTCTTTCTCACGATGAACATATCGTTTTTTTCGCACTTACGGCTAGCTGTACCTTAGACTCCTCCTATTCGGAGTTCCACAATCGTTTTGTTCACCCATATTCTCGCTCATAAGCATTCACAATTACACCAGATTAAATACAATAAAAGGCACAAGATTTAACTTCTCTAACCTCAATATTCTCTTCTTATCGAGACTTGGACCGCACTGAAGTTCAAACTTTGTCTGTCTTGTTGAGACATTGCGCAAAAGTGACTGCACCTGGAGTGTTGCTCCACTCTAGGCAATTTACCGTGCCTGCTCGTCTGGGCGTTCTTGAAAAGAATATTCGCTTCTTTGCATCAACTTAGACATAATAGTTAGAACCCGAATCAGCGCAGTCTTCATGACCGACAAACGTAAAGAAAGTTGAGAGGATGTCGAGGTGTTCTCTAATGAAAGCTGTTCCACTGACACTCCGAGCTAGGTCCAAATACCTTCATCATCGAATAAAATTATACGGCTAAGCTGTTCCAGACAAGAGGAGTCTTTACTGTGCTCAGCGTAATTCAGTACTTTTTCCATCTACGGAAAGTGTTTCGACACTCCCTCCGCCAATTTTTCGCATATACTTTATGTAGTGGATCTTGCTAATGAAGTCTAACTTGCTTTACTGAAAAGGGAAGGTATTGCCAGTCCCTGTCCTAATCACGTGACGATCACAACTATAAAGTGTTCGGAGTCGATCGCCTCACTGGTGTGGGGCTATTTCACGCCTATATATGAGCGCTTACCAGAGCGAAATGGGTGCGAAAACTGTTTTGCGAAAGCTATCGATCATCATTGTTCAGGAGTCATATCTGTGATTGGAACAACAGCGAATTGCCATGAGAACGATTCTTAGGTATTAGAAGCTATCAAAATCTAACTGGTATATGATTCAGTCTGCGCACTTTGTGAGGTAACGCGCCATCTCATCCGTCTAAAGGATTCTAACTTCAGCGAAGCGGAAATCGTCACCTCATGCTGAACTTTAAATTATTCAGTGCATATCGACAGCGTCGAAGAAGCGACCCATTGCTGCAACGCCCCGCTTGTATCGATGAGACAGCTGAGCAACCAACGACAAGGAGTCTTATTCACCTTTAGGTAAATCCTTTTTCACTATAAAGAAGCATTATGTGATGGACAACCCTGACTCGTATCGAGGGAGCTAGACGTCTAGTGTGAGCGAGATCGTCAGCAAAGAACGAAATCAAGACATTTTTGCTGAAGAAGATCCTCAAATCTTAACCAGTCTTATGCCTATGGGGGATCCTAACACTCCACTGGTTGCTGAAAACAGCCCTGATAGAGCTGTCGGTTCTCTAGACGGCTGACGTGAAAGTGCGCTCTCCTTACTCTTAAAGCAATGCTGACAAAGGTCGTCTACATCGCGACGTACCTAATCCATAGTGTCGCGCAACCCTGTGCATGGAACTGTATATCACTGATGTGTAGCCAATGCTTGTCAAAAAGGGTAGCTCGT